TATATATATATATATATATATATAGAATCATACATATTACTATTTAAAAAGATTAAATTATTTCAATAGTTTACAAAATATTTAATGATTTTATTATTTATTGCAATCGATTTTTTGAAAATCGTTTTTTTTCTCGTTTTTTTCTATTATTTTTAAAAAAAAATGATTTCGTATCGCATTTCTTATAAAGAATATAAAGTTTCCTTCAATTTACTCTTATTTTAACTTAACTGGCTCTTTTCCATTATCTTAGATTTTTCTACTATCTCAGTAAATTGTTATTTGCAATATACTTTATAAATATACTTTATTGTTTGAATAAATTGTTTAAAAACATCAACTTTAAATATAATAATCTCTTATATTATTTTTAAAATTTTTGTGTTTGAAATGTCATGTTTTTAAAATGTATTTTGTTTCGAATTGTTTTCTTATTTAAATAAGTTACAAGATATTAAGTTTATCTTAATCTATGTTTGAAATTTCCGTTCCATAAAAAGACACGAATATGCAATTTAAACTTTACAACAAGTTGATGTACAACATTCTGTTTCAATGAGAAGTAAAGCCGATAATGTTGATCGTTATTAAAGAATTTTTCTTTTTTTTTTTTTTTTTTTTTGCTTTTCCTTTAAGATTTTTCTTTAATTAAGAATAAGAAAAAGTACTTTTCGTATTAAGAAAATCCTCTTAGAATCTTATGCCCTCATCTTATTAAATAAGTTTTATTTTTGCACCGCATCTTAAATTTATGAAAAGCGACCTTTGAAATATAATTAATTGTATTCAATTTTTCCGAAACTTTATATAGTTTAAGAAAATTTAAGAAAAAAAGAGATCTATTATTGTAAAGATAATTAAAATTATAATGATCATTTTTTAATATAATCATTTAACCATTTTTTCAAATGAATGAATTTCAATAAAAATGAAATATTCCTATATAATAAATAAAATAAAATAAAATAGTTCAATAATAATTAATAATAATATAAAGTAATATATTTTTAATACTTTTAAATATATCTAATTGTCAATATAATTAATCACATTTACTGCTAAATTGTTAATTTATAAAATCAAGTAATAAATCCATAAATTCCTCCACAAGTAGTTCATAAAATTTTTCGAATTATCTCCTTAAATCGAATATTAATTCAAAATTCGAACAATCATTTTTTGTAGCAACAATTATTTATAATCAATCCTCGTTGAAACTTTGAAAATGAACGAAACACTCTTTCTTCTATAGATCTTCTATACATCTGTTTCGCTAGAAAATTGTAATATTCAAATTAAAATATTCTTATTGATTATTCATAATTTATGATAATATATTAGACATTTGTTATTGCAAAATTTTTTCGATATCACATATTTAAATTCGTTTTAAAATATCTATATTATTTTATACATATTTATTATATTTTTTATTATATTTATATTGATATATCAAAGATTTTTTTTTTTTGTTTGTTACAGAGATTTCGAGGCTGGCATGAAGTGCATTCAAACGTACACGTTCGACTGCATGGAAGAGAAACAAAGGGAGCACTTCAACTCGTTATACGTGGGCACCAACAAGGTAGTCATGGAGCTGTGTCAAGATGGCCCTTATCAAGACGGTAAGTTGTATAACTACGTTATACTTGTCGTTATCCCATACCGATGCAATTATAATTTCGTCTAGACGATTTTGGAGAGCGAATCGGATGTGATTTTATATGATGTTTGCAAATTATAAGATTCTAATTTTTTTTTTAGTAAAAAATGTAATAATTGTATCTTGTTTAATTCTATAACGAATCTATTTCGATCAAGTAATATGATTTCAATCAAAGTGAATTTTCATCTATAAAATATAAGATGATATAAATCATATCTAATTTCAACCACGTGTATATCTACACAAGTTGATTATTTTTCAAGTAAATCATACGATTATGTTTATATGTTTATATAATAAGTAATTTACATTCAAAAATTAGTTTTTTTTTTTTAATTTTTATTTTAGCTTTTATTTATTATAACAATTATTTTCTTATATCGTTATTTTTATTTAAAGTTTTTTGTATTTTGAATTTTCATTCGTTTAGAAACCTCTTTTTTACTTTGAAAACGTTGATAAACTTTGGTAAGTTTTATATTTCAAGGAATTTATCTCTTCCCTTGAGATTCAAATTATCCAAGTTCGGTTTTATTTAAATAAACTGGAATTATAACTAAATAGAAATTTATAATTAATATGTTGATTATTCAGATTAGTAAAAATTTATGCATGAAATTTAAATTGAAATTTCAAGTTTTATACGTATTTCCAATATTTAAGTATTGAATATTTTTATCATCTTGGTATACAAAGTATTTCGTTGGAGGAATCGCTTCAATGAATGAAAATAAAATTCATAATAAATATATTAAAATATAAAAAAAAATCATATAATTGACTTTTATTTGAATTTTATTTATTAATACATTTTCTTGTGCATTTAATAAGCAAGCTTAAAGAAGTTTTATCAATATTTTTATTCATTAATATTTTTATAAAAAAATTTCAACTTCAATGAGCATTCTGTGAATGAATGAATATAATGAATATCTGATGCAGCAGAATTTCATTTATACTTGTCGGAAAACAAATATGTTCATATAATAAAAAATATCAAGTTGTTCATATAATAAAAAAGTTCACTAATTATGATTTTTCGTCCAATTAATAGAAGTTCACGTTTACATAAAAAGATTTTACGAAATATTTTCTCTAAAATACACATCAAATATTATAAATTTAAAAACATAATAATTTTTTTTGCTAAATGAATGAATTTTATATTTATTTTGTATATTTCTAATTATATTGTAAAAAATATATATAAAAATATTCATAAATGGAATGATTCTCAGTTCAAATAACAGAAATTTCATATAATTCGAATAATTGTGTAAGGTTCATATAAACCTTTAAGTTCCATTTTATTGAATTCCATTCCACAAATAATAGAATTAATTCAACTATTTTTATCTTTTGACATAATTATTGTATTAATTGTTCTATTATTTCTAAAATTATTCTAATATCTATATAAAATTCACTATATTGAAAATAAAGTAGATTAAATGAGGCATAGATTCATTTACAGAAGTAATTCTTTGATGTGATAAGATATTTAATGTAAAATTTGTAATATATGATTAATACGTAGTAAAGTTTTAGTAGTGAAGAATTATATTAAAAAATTTTCAGAATTTTATATTTATTTTGATTTCGATGTTTGATATTTGATATTATTCTAAAAAAATATTAAATTTAAATTTATTTTTTATTGCATATATATATATATATGTATCTTGTTTCTTGTTTTATATTATGTTTTTTGTTTCCTAGATAATACGTGTAATCTTATAATATCGCACGCATAATTTTATTTTATTTTTTTTTATTTATCTAAATTTATTAAATAAATTTGATAAAATCCAAAAAACGAACTTTTAAAGTTTTTTTAATAAAAAAAATTTGATATAAAAAATTTTATCTTATCGAATGAAATTTATGAAAATTCTATATAAATTTCATTGACAGAACATTCTGTAATACAAAATGAAAAGCTAAGAAATTAGAAAAAAAGAAAAGATTGCCGTAATTTATGAAATTCATAAAACCATTCTTAATGCTCCGTCCACATATTACAGAAAGGATTAGAGAACTAAATTAATTAGGTTTTTAACTACATTTCTAGAAAGTAATTTTTCTCTTCTTTCAAAAAAGAGAATTTATGTTCTTAAAATTAATTCTAAAAATTGATATTTATAAAAGATCAGTTTATTAAAAAAAGAAAAGAAAAAGAAAAAAATAGATATTTTTTAATTTATTATTAAAAATTATATAATATATAATTATATATTTCTAATAAAATAGTTTCGATCAAACGATAATATGAAATTCGTTAAAAATATTTTTAATTTTTGAGAATTAATTTTATAAAAAGAATGCCATGTCATTAATTTCAATGGTTTTTTGAATATGTTTTTGAAGATGTAAAAATCAATATTTTGAATAATTTTGTCCTATGCAAGTATATAATGTACCATACATGCTTAACTTTTTCTAGATATTTGCAAAAAAAGAAAAAAAAAAGTTGCTATATATACATAGAACTTCATCTATACATGTGCATCAATATATAATTATCACTTATCAATTGTTTATAAACAGATAAATTGGTCGGCTATCACTTAAAATGTATAACAAATGAGCTAATATCATTATACTTAAATTTATTTTTAAAGAACTTGGGAAAATTTTTCGAAAATAAAATATAAAACAAAATATAGACAATTGAAATGCTTAGATAAAATTTTCGGTAATTATATAAAAAGAATAGTACTTTATTGATTTCAATGATTTGTATATTATATAAATAAATATTTTAAACGATTTTTTTTATACATATAATCCTTACATGTATTTAGATAATAGATACTGTATAGCTGAATATAAGAAGATTTGAATATATAATAGATTACATACAATTATTTTAAAATATATTTAAAATAAAACTTTTTTGTTGACGAATATTTCAAAATAATTAAAACTCGTGAGATTTTTTTAAATTAATCATGAAAATAATATATAGTATTATAGTATTAATAATTGGTAATTTTCCTATTTGATAGGAAAAGTTTTGGAAAAAATTTTGATTATTGTGAATTCATAAAGAGAAATAAATTAAATTAAAATATAATAAAATATAATTAAATTATTTAAAATATATTTTCTTTCTAATATTTCTTATCATATTCAAATATTTTCATGTGTATTAAAATTATTATAATTATACGTCCATTTAAAGTTATTTTCTCATTATTTTTTTCTTCATAAAAAAAAATTTAAGTTATTTTTCTGTACATATTTATTTTATATTATACCGATTTTTCAACACGTTTGACATTTATACCACATCATTTTACATTTCAAAAATTACAATTATTTTTAATGAATTTCTATATTATTACATTTGATCGAAGACTTTTTTCTATCGATACCATATTATAAATCTATGACATTTACAATGCGCGTAATCGGACAAAATAGATATATCCTTATCCAAACATCGAATCTTCTATTAATCCTATAATCGTAGATTTCGTGAAAATGTATATGCGTGCAATTCGATTCCTGGAGCCGAAAGCAAAGGAAACGGATTCACCGGTCACTAGCGAATATACGAATTGAAACACGCTAAACACCGTTCCAATCCCCAGGGCATAGAGAACATGTTATTGAGTTGAATGGTCATTGAGCTGCGCTCGCTGTTCGATCTATACTGCTATCTCGAAATCGGTTACGCGATTAGCGCCTCGTTAAGAGCAATACCGGCTACGCGACTTGTAACGAGCCCGATTATCGATATTGAACGATCGAATTGTGTCTGATCAACTTGTGCCTTCACGCAATTACAATTCCTACGTATAGTTTTGATACGTTTCATGTTATTTTAAAATTTTTATTTGGAAAACATCATTTCTTGTTATGATTAACTTACGAAGTTTTATAAATTCCTAATATTTTTAAGCTATTAATTTCTAGATTTTATTTTTGTCAGTTTTTAATATGTTATCTAGAAAAATAAGAGATGAAAGCGATAAACATATTTATTAATATAGCATTATAATAAATTATTAATCGAATTTAATTATTGAATTTATTGAATTTAAATTATTATATATTTTATGGAATTCTTTATTTTTTAAATACTAATAAAATATATTCTTGTCTATTTGAAGAGATGATTATTTAATAATAAAATTGTTATATTATAAGTACAAATTTAAATATAAAATTCAGGTGTATATAAAATTTGATATGAAGTTTACATGAATTCATAGTTTAAATAATTCAAAAAATTCTGAATTCTGAATCATCAATATTATGATAATTACTTAAGAATATTAAAGTTCAGTATAGTTCAATTAATTAGAAAAATTTAAATGATTCTTTGTTTAAAATAATTTTAATTCAATATTTCTATACGTTATAAAAATAGTAATAGTTTGAAAAATTCTGACTTTTTGATTCGAAAAAAACTTATGCTCTTAAAGCTCTTCTCCATGTCCATTTTATAGATTCTCGATATAGTTGCATAAGCAACTAATAATATTGCGAATCAGTCTTTTAATTATGTTTCAAACAGAATTGTTGAATAGAAATAGTTCAATTCTCCTCTGGTAAATTTCCTCAGGAGACGTGACGTCATATTATTCCCACTGCTACTGCACTAGGTAAAGGTAAATTACGCGATCAGGCTTTCGCCAAAGTCAAACGTGTCACGTGACATTGCTATGCCTAATCTAACAATGGCAGTGGGGATAATGTGATGTCATATATTCGTATAGAAATTCGTTAGAGAAAGAATTGAATTACTTTTAATAAAGGGGGTAACATAATGTTCCATTCTGATAATCCTAGTCTCAAATTTAAGAAAAATTTCTTATTTTGAGAAAAAGTTGCAGGATAAGTGTTTCTTGTTCCAAAAAAAAAAAAAAAAAAAATCAAACTGTGGATATTTTTTTATAAAGTTTTCTAAAGTTTTTTAAAGTTTAGAATTATGTTGATTGCAGTTGAAATGGCATGATTGGAGAATATTATCTCAAATCTCAGGATTATGTTTCTTCAGCCAAGCTAAAATATATTTTAAGAAATATCCAATTCAAAAATATCTCTAGATATTTCTCTCAAAAACGATTTTATCCTATCCAACATTGTTCTCTATCATTTTTATTATTTGTACATAATTCATTTAGCTATTATCATTTCTTTTTCTTTATAAAAAATTTAATTTACAAATAAAAGACAAATAATAATACAGAATACTTTTGTGTTTATTATTTTTATGTTTTCATTTTTTGTATGTTTG